CAACAGTGATTCTATACATCTTACCAGCAAAGGAACAAAATCATCTAATATTCATGGTTTAAAAGAAAGACTTCAGACAAATTAAATTTAACAGAATTTGAGCGAGAACGATTCTCGAATCAGGCAGCTCTCGGCAACCGGAAGGGGTTCAGAGTGACTCCAGCACTGCCGTGTGGCACGAGAGAATTTATGGAAGAAAAAGGAAAGTAACATAGAAAACGGAAGTGAGGTACAGAAATAGCTGGATTGGTTACAGCTCCAGATTTGCCTTATTTGAACACCGGTTTGAACATTTGGCCCCCTGTATTGGCCGAAACTGTGATTGCGCAAGAGTAAGTTACAGTCTGTTTACACATCAGGTAGGTTACAGTTCACTAGGTATGGAGGAATCTTTAGGCCGAACTTAAAATATGTAAGGAGATGGTTTTAGGCTAAACTTAATTTAACACGTCTGCATGCATCAGTGTCTTACCAACCCAGAGCTTGGAGATGGAGGTTGGGGAGGACGGACAGCTGTCCGGGAGATTCAGGATAGGTTTTACTTATGGGGAAAGAGCCAGTTAAGTCAAATCATAGAAAGAGCTGATTTTTCCTTGGTAATTACCTAATTATTTTGCTATTTCATCCTGCACACTCAAATAATCTCAGTCCTCCCCAGCTCCTTACAGCTTCCATTCTTTTCTCTAAATACCTTTATCTTTTCTTCTACTGGGCACCCAACCTGTTCTTCTCCATTGAAATTTTGTGCCTGCCACCCAGACAACTGGCAACGCACCAAGAACAAGAAAAATGGCTAACATACATTTTAAAAATATTCACACTAAGCGAATTATAAATAAAATAAAACAAATAAAAACAGTAATGCAGATCTTTTTCCCTTTAATCAAGTAGCTTTCAAAAAGAGATACATCAGAATACCCACCATTAGCAGAGATATGATTGCATAGTGGTGGACTCATGGAACATTAGCACATCTTTTGGAAAGCAATTTTGCAATATGAATCAAGAACTTAAAATGTGGCTATCTTTCAATCCAGTAAGTTTTAATTCCAAAGGCAATAACACTAAAATGTGGCAAAGCTTTATGTGAAAAGTTGTTACTTACTTTTGATGTTATTTAGCATTGACTACAATAGCATTTTACACAGTAAAAAACTGGAACCCATGCTCAAACTTTGACGAATTGGTGAGTAAATTATGGTACATCCCACATACTATGAAAAAAATGCAATTATTTCATATTTTCAATCACATAGAATTATTATGATATAGTGTTAAGCAAAGTAGCAGGATACAAAAGTACGTAATCAATATAGCCTAACTTTGTAAAGCAATGTACAAAAAAGGGATAAATAATGCAAATATGTTCACAGCAATTACTTCTAAGTTTTTATGGTGTGCATTTTTACTGGTCTTGTTTATGCTTTTCTTTGCCAGATTTTCCACAATGAGACTGAATTTTATAAGGAAAAAAATGTTTTAAAATATCTGCCCACAATAACTAGTACAGGGTATTAAAATTTTGGCTGAAGAGTGAGTTCCTGAAGACACACAGAAGCCTGGCCTACAGAGGGTTTCTATTCATCAATCAGAATGAGGCTGCCAAGTGGCCGTGGCCCAAAGACAGTTGATAGGTTACCTGGCTAATGTTTCTTAATTCTTGAGGACTTTTGACATTTTTTTTATTTGGAGAGATTTGCATTATTTCAAATTGTCCTTATAGAGATTCCATTGACATTCTCTCATCCCAAACTTTTCAAATTCGAATAATTCAAATTACCGGAAAACGAAACCATAATGAATAATCCATATTGAGGATACTATATTTCTAAACAACATACTATCATTGCTTAAAAAAATAGTTTTGGCAGTGTCACACAAAGATTTGTGACATATAATGCCAGCAGAAACTTAACGAGCATGGTTCATAAGCAAACAGAATGTTTAGTGACACATAAGAATATATTAATAATGTATTTTATATTAATTCATTGAAACAGACATGCAAAACTGTCTACAGCAGCGGTCCCCAACATTTTCGGCATGAGGTACTGGTTTCATGGAAGACAACTTTCCCACAGACCAGGGGCTGGGGGGTGGGGAGCGACAGAGAGCCACTGTAAATACAGATGACGCTTTACTGGCCAGCCCGCCACCCACCTCCTGCTGTGAGGCCTGGTGCCTAACAGGCCATGGACAGGTACCTGTTCCGTGGCATGAGGGTTGGGGACCATAGGTCTACAGGATGCTCATAAAGTCTGGAAACATAGGCACACACACATAATGCCATCAAGGACATTTTCAATGTGTAAAACGCACACACGCACGTACACATGCACACACTGCAGACTTTATGTAGAATGGAAATCAAGTTCCACATACCTGGAATCCTACTAAGTGTCACCCAGAAATGCTCATCAGGAGAGTAGGTGTCCTTTGACCATTCAAGTAAATTAACGGCCCTCTGATCTTGAAGAGCAAAATTAGCAAACTCCCTTGTAAGGGCCACGTAGGCGGAGCCAAAGTAAATGGTCAGATCATGAGGAGGAGGACTTTTTCTTATCCAAGTCCACAGCATAAAGGAAAACAAATGGTATCTCTGCTCCAAGTGCACGTATTTGGTCCTTCTGGTTATATGAGGAGGGGGCAGCACCCCTGGGGTAATATTTTTCCCTTTAAATCCTTTGAGATACTGAACTATTTCCCTGTTGGTTTTCAGGGGGAAGTCTTGCCCACAGGTGTTGATGGCGTACTTCCAGGGAACCTCGGAGGTGACAAGATCTTGCAGGCAGTTGAGGTCAGCCTGGAGCCTGGAAATTCCTGCATAAACCACAGACTCCCTCTTTGAAGCCACAAAGGCATTTGAGAAGCAGCTCAGTAGTTTTCCAACAGCATCTTTGAAAGCTGCTGGGGCCTTCTCATCCACATGAACGCAGTAGATGTTCTGGGGAGTGTAAATAGCCCTGAAGAGCCTTTCAAATGTATCAAAGTCCTTGTGGATGACCATGACATATGCCAAAGGGAACTCAGCTTCGTCTTTGGACAGAGGTTCCATTATGTAGTGATTTTGGATCCAGTATTGTTGGCAGGTTATGTTTCTCAGTGGTGTCACTGGTATGCTTTCCTCCAAGAAAATTTCCTTTCCTGTCATGATCATGTCACAAACTTCTGCAAGGTCTGAAGAGTTTGAGATTTTCCCTACTCGCACGTATTTTTGCGGGACTAAATTGTTGGTATACAGGAAGAAAAGGGTTATAGACATGGCCATAAACCCCACGACAAACCCAAACACTTTCAGCTTCATTTTTCCTATGATGTCTTCTTAATTTTTCACTTGCCTGACTTCATACATACTATTGCTAAAGTCAGTCTGTAGGTCCCTGTGCAGAATGCCAACAAATCTGCTCTAACTTCGTATTTGCAGAAAGAAGAGAACTGTTACCATTACTTAAGGGAAGGAGATCGACTACACATCTGCATTCTTTTCTTACATTGAAGGAACAGAGTGGATCTGCAGACATGAGCCAGTGGGGCCAATTGACCACCAAGCAAGAGCCGGGCACGTTTTAGCACCTCTGTCTAGGCCAACCTCAAGTCGAGACCCTGTCGAATAAGCCATGGCTGCCAACTCAGGGTGGTCTTCCCATGTGGGGTCAGGGTAGAATGTGTGTCCATCTTGCAGGTCTGTTCCCTGGGCCAGGTCACCATTTACATTCACAGCACCCAGAATTGCTCAATAGCAGGGTCTCTTTACCTAAAAATAAAGATCAAGAATTTATAGAATTTCAGGGCTGGAAGGAATCATGCAGATTATTTGTACCAACTCATTCCACTGGCAAATGGAGAACACTGAAAATGAACCATAACTGATACCCTATCACATTTTTGTCTTCGTTTTCTTGCTGATAGCCGCATTGACATTATATCCATTTTACATAGGAGGAAACATACGCAGACTTGCCTGATATCCAGTAATGAGTTAATGGTAGCATGGGGTCTCAAACCTAACTCTTCTGACTCCACAGGCCTTCCATCTGGAATGTTCTCTCCCCCTACCTTTTCTTGATGAGTTCCTAGTCATCTTTCAGGTCCCTGAGTGACACTGCTTCCTTGGTGACCCTTCCCTGCCCTCCCACATCTGAGTTAGGAGCCCTTCCACAATAAGACCTCATACTCCCTAC